ACATATCATTAATGGAATAAAATAAACAAATCCTAGATGGATTAAAATACTCATCAGTATCAATACATATCATTAATGGAATAAAATAAACAAATCCTAGATGGATTAAAATATTCATCAGTATCAATACATATCATTAATGGAATAAAATAAACAAATCCTAAATGGATTAAAATATTAAATATAATATTTCATATTAGAATAAAAACATAAAAACAATTATATGAAATGAATAGAATTAAAATATCACACGTATCACAGGTAAGCAATATCAAAATTTTTTATTCACATTTTTTTTTTTTTCTTTTTTTTCAATGAGTAATTTGTAATGTATTACATTTTGTTGTAATACCATGCGAAGAATTATTGCTTGATTTCAATGATCCCATACTTCGTTGTTGTAAAAAAATTTAACTTTTGGTTGTTGCATTGGACTGCTTGGTAATGAACCAAATCCTGAACTATCCGCTGAACCACTAGCACTTTTTAGGATTTGCCTGTAGTGGGATTTTCACAAATGCTGCATACATCGGTCATCAGAGGGGGTTATGGTTTAAAATTTGACTGTCCACAAATCAATATATGATCAATTTGTTGGTCAATAGAAGTGAAAGAATATAGCTCACGGCAATTATCCAATGTTTTCCTAAAGGTGAATTAAAAAAAGAAAGACTAAAAGAACTTAGGAATTTTATCCATTCATGAAATTTGTATTAATTTAATTATTTTCTAAATTCAAATTAATCCTATTATATTTCAAATTTTTGGAAATACTAAACGTTAAGTTATACTTATTGTAGTGTAGTTGAGAAAAAAAAAATGTTTATAGGTAAGGAAATTTTTTCATTTCTTTTTATCTATTCACATTTTTTCTTTTTTTAACTTCCATCAATTATGAAAAAGATAATGAGAATTTAAGATAACCTGATATGATCATGTCCTGCAAGTTGAGCTACATCAGATGCACAACGACCTAAATTATCACAAATTGATGGTTCAGCACCAAATCTTAGCAAAAGCATGACAATATCACGTTGTCCATTATTTGCTGCTATATTTAATGCTGTTGCACCCTAAAATTATAAAAAGTATAATTTAGAGAAAAACAAAAAAAAAAAGAACCTTAGCATCTAAAAAAAAAACTACTAATTAATAAATTATTAATTAAATAAATGATAAACCTCAGCTATTGTTTTATCAAAATTATTAAAATAAATAAATTATTCATCATTTAACCTGATAATCAATTATTAAAATAAATAAATTATTCATTATTTAACCTGATAATCAATTATTAAAATAAATAAATTATTCATTATTTAACCTGATAATCAGCAACATTTGGTGCTACTCCAATAGTTTCCAACATATAATGACAAATTTTATAATTTGATGACCAAACGGCGATCATTAATGGTGTACGACCATCTTCATCACGTGCTTCAAATTCTGCTCCATATTTCCAAACAATAGCAGCTAATTTAATATCATTTAACTGTAAATTATT